CGTTAGCAAACTAGAGAAAAACACATTATTTTCTGCTTGCCACAAGAAATCACAATTTTTCTGCACTAAACAAGTGAATTTTACCAAGATATTTCCAGAGATGATAGACAAGACGTTATATAATAATAATTTAATGAAAAACATAGACATTCAGCCTATTTTTTTAATTTCCTGAAAACGTCTAGATCACACACACACACACACACAAAGTGTGGTGAGTAAACAATTAAATGGATTTTTGGATAGACATGCAGTACTGAGTTGTGGCACTGAAGCTAGATGTGTAGGTTCAAATCCATGTCATATCCTAATCCCATTCCCCCTTTTCTACTAATAAATTTCTGTCATAATTTTCTTTTACTATTAATAATACTGAAATGGGCCTATAAACTTCACAGCTACTGCACAGTAACGGCTCAAACGAACCTTGGTTAAATCTGCTATTAACATCTGTCTTGGGTCAGCTGATCTGTGATAACTACAGACAGAAGCTGAGCTACAGGCACATATTACTATGCTGAACTGTCTGGATTGTCCTCTTTATTTATTAGCAGGTTATGCTAAACAATTCAACAGCACCAGATGCTGTCTCATTAACCTTTATAGAACAGAATTGCTCTCATTTCCCTCCTTTCACCTTCAGCTGCTGCCAGATCCCAGCATAGTGGGGCCAACATCTGGATCTGCCTCAACAGACTCCAAGAAGTGTCAATGTTGATCACCAAGCACATGATGAAGGCTGGGGAAGAGCAATATGAGGGGCCACATATGCCATAAGACTAAACCTAAATATATGCTTAAGGATTTCATACCATGATGTCTCCAAATGCTAAAAATAATCAACAGAAACATAGTAGAAAAGCACGTAGAAGAAAAGCTCAGAAAGCCACTGTGGACAAAATGGCAGAGAATTTAGATCCCCTACTGAGCATTTGTTTTTGGGTTTGATTGTGTTTCATTAAAATAGTCCCTGGCTAATTTTGAATACAAACTTGAAATGCTATTGCAATCAAAGCTTTGAGGGAATGAGCTCTGAGATTAAACAGAAAGGTGGCGGCTCATAATGGGCCTCCTGAGGTGAGCCTGTGCATTAGTGGCAACTGCTTGGAAGATTTGTGCTGGTCGAAATTAAACCTCTGAGGCTGAGAAGTGAACAGAAGGAATCCGGTCTCAAAAGGTGTCTCTGTTTCCACTACAAAGGTGACAGAACTTAAAGGTGCTGTATATAAGTTTTTGACTCTACTAAAGCATAAAAATACCATAATATGTTTGCAGATATTTAAGAAACATGCTAAGTTAACATATTTGTTTATCTGAAAAACAATGCTACAGTCAGTTATTTTCCTTTGAAAATGTGCGTTCCAGGCCGGAATGTCGGTCTCTGTTTTGGTATGTGAAACCCACCCACTGTCAGTTTAACCAATTGTATTTCGGCACCCAGGGTTGCCAGTTGGCAGAAAACACAGCGTATTTCATTTAATTCATCATCAAGTGCGCTCGTTCCTGTTGGTGTCGTCAATCTGGCAACCTGTGTATGCGTCAAGTCTGAGGAGGAGGGTCAGGGTGAAAAAACCCTCTACAATATTTTTAATTTGGACTGCAATACCTAGTTCAACCACTCGGTGTCAATCCTACATACAGCACCTTTAAAAAGTGATGAGACTCAACAGTATCTCAGAAAAGGAATGACATGTTCTGAGAGTACATTCAGTAAAGTAAGGAGCTTTTGAGCTAACAGACGCTCACCATACAGTGTGCAAAATAAGAAAAATAAGATATGCAGGTACTTTACCATCTGAAGCCAAAATGTTGATTATCAAAACAACTTCTGTTAGCAAACTTCAATTCTCAACAGCTGGCTTGTGGACGCAGTTTTACAGAACTTAAGTGGCTCTTCTCACAAGGCTGATGTCCCCATAAATGAGAGCCATGCGCTTGTAAGTGTGAAGCTAAAGTTTGTTTAAAAAGATCCATGATGAACAGTGTTCAGCTGGAGGATTGACGAGTATGTTGTTTTCTGCTCTCTTCATTTGTGGCGTGTCCTCCAACAGCCCATAATGCTCACTGAGCACCATTCCACTCTACACTAATGGATTCTGGAGAGGCACATCAAGTGCTGCTGGACGTGTGTTTTGAACGTCTCTGCTGAGCGGCAGGTACATCTGCTTTCACAGGTCTGCATGCAAGTCTGTTGTGTAACAGCCATGAATCGCGATGCACTTAAATTAGAGCTGTCAAACTGCAAACGGTTTCTGCTTGGTATTGCTCATTATTTAGACTGGAAACCTCATTAAGCTGGTTCTGAAGGTTAGGTACATTATATATATATATATATTCCCCTAGATTATATCTAAGAAGACTTTTTTTATTTTACTTGAACTTTTATTACTTGCTTTAATTTTTTAATTAAATAGTAGCTGATTAGAAAAACTGTGGTTTCAAATGAGGGAAGAAAATTTATTTCAGAGCCATATATACACACAAATACGTTCCACACAGATATTTGATACGGTATATTGGCAAACATTTCATTGAGTAATGGTAGCCAAGTAAACCTAACTGGTTCAAAGTTTAAAGGTCAAACTAACCTCGATTCCACCCTGAAGCAGTTCTATCTGAGTGCTGCCCACATCCAGTGTCACCGCGACAGAGGCAAAAGGGCGACTGGCCATCTGCTGCCTTTCCCTCATCAGTTGCTGTAGCAAAAAGAGATGAAAGAAAGAGGGGGGAAAAGTATGATACATTAGTAATATACTTTATACTTTCAAACAACTCTAAGATGTCAGTTTTCTTTGTCAAAATCTCACATTTCAGATTAAAAGTGGTGACTGACAGCTTAAGTGACATGACTCACAGAAAGTTCAGTGACTGATATTTATTGAAAACAGAAAAACCAAAAAGCACCCTGATACACACACACACTGTGAGGCAGTATGCAGGGATGTTGAGATAAAGAGGAAGGAAAAAGATTACGAAAAGAGAAGAGGAGAAGGTGTAAAAAAGATTAGAGAGAGACAGAAAGTGAGAGAGAGAGGCCATTGACAGCACTTTGGCTGTTTTCCAGCACAGACAGAAACAGGTGGTTGAATAATTCATTTGTTCCATATAAAAAAGTTTGGAGGACCTGGCTAATCAAATGTCTGCAAAGATTGGAAGGAAATTTCTCTTGCCACAACATGCATGACAAGCAATTATTTTGCCATTGATTGCTTGAGCATCAGTATTCCAGTGGTGGAGTTTAATTAATGAAGCATTCCCTGTAATTTCTCCATTCGACTGACTGGCTGGTTGCCCTAAAAGCAGAATTCACAACCTTTATAGAAAATCCCATCCATAACCGATGGCACACTTCTTATTTTACCTCTATGATAGACAGTTTATCTATCATGTGCACATGGTGCACAATTTTCCTTGCTTGTGCATATAGGAGGAGATGACACGGACCAGGTCAGAAGTACTTCTGAAGGTCACATCAATATATTTATCAATACCGACTTCTCATCTATAATCAGACTGCATATGATGTCACTGAATGAAAGAGAGCGAGCATTCATGAGCATCTGCAGGTGTGACATTGATACAAAAGATCAATACAGTGCAATACAGAGCATTCAATCATACAGGACTATGCCAGTTAGAGTATCCACAAGGAACAATTAAAATACCTTTCCAGTGAAACATTCAATAAACATCTTAATAAGACCTAAGCACTGCTTAAATGTCTCATTTCATTTCATTACCAACAATAACATCAAACAATAATGAACAACACTTCATCAGGTATGTAGAAAACGAAAGCTTCTGCCCTGGAGACAAACTTTGAAAGACGTTGTACTTAAAAGAACACTACAAATCAGCTTCTCTCACTTCAGAGAGATGGAGAAGTCGCAGGTGATGCCTCTATCATCTCTGGATAATCAAGAGTTAAAACATGGAGTGGTCTTCACGACGGTCAATCAATATCTAAATGCAGGCTGATTTGGGTACCAAGGACGAGGCTGATTGCTATTGGATTTGTGATGGAGAGAAGAGTGCTGAGTTAAACTCTAATTGTGTCCCATAACGAAAGACAACTGCTGAGGTACTGTCATTGTCACTGGTTTATTTAAAAGTATTTAAATAATACTATAGTATTTACTGGTTTATTTAAAAGTATTTAAAATGGTGGTGGATGAGGAGATACCCCCTGACAATGTAAAGCGCTTTGAGTGCCTAGAAAAGCGCTATATAAATGTAATGAATTATTATTATTATTATTTAAAATAAATGCTGTTCTTTTCTGACCTTTCTATTCAAAGAATCCCGAAAAAAAAAAAAAAGTACAATACAATTGAAAATAATAAGAATAATTTCTTGATCAGCACATCAACATATTAGAATGAAGGATCAAAATTCAGCTTTGGGGATCAGAGGAATAAATTACATTTTAAAACATTAAAATAGAAAAAATGCTAATAATAGTTTTTATAGTATAGTATTTAGTATAATAGTAAAATAGTTTTTCACAATATTACTGTTTTCACTGTATTTTTGAATAAATAAATGCAGCCTTGGAGAGCATTAGAGATGTTTTTCAAAAACATACAAAAAACTTTTACAGACTTTTTGAAATGTAGTGCAACTACTTCTATATGGAATTACAAGCAGTGTTTCTGATATACAACAAACAACACAACTCATTCCCCTGAATCACAAACAAATCACTGTTTAGAGCTGGTTCAAACTGAATAAAGTAATAAAAGTAAAATAAAAGTAATAAAATATGAGTTTATATTATATTTTAGGGTAATGTTCAAAAGACAATCTCATGATTTTTTTAAATTAAAAAAAAAAATCCTTAATTGGAAACAAAACAATTTTTTTTTTCAAACCAGCAGGAACATGGTAAATGGTAATCTCAAAGAGAGAGAAAAAAAACAGTGGTAAATAGCAGTACTTCTCTTTGTATATAATTCACTACAAAAAGAACACATAAAATGGGAACACTAGTGCATGCCTTTAAGTGCCTTGATAGGCAAACTAAGAAGCTTTGCACTCAATGAACTGAAGTGAACATTCAATTCCTATGAACACACTGTGTACTACTTACTCATCTGCAAGCTTTCCACATGCTAACTAATCTTCTAACAATGGCAGCATGTATCATTACATAGTTAGACAGATCACTGAATGCTTTCAAGATCATGGATCTTCAACCTCTGCAACAGATCTTCAAAACTCAATCTGATTCTGAAAAATGAACATGAAAGACGGTGCTTCTGAACAAGCATCTATATTGAACGATACTGTAATTTGGCAATTAAAACACATCATTATAGGCAAGACTTCCTGTAGCTCAAACTGTGGAAACATGGTGCTAGCAATGACAAGGTCATGGGTTCGATTCCCAGGGTAGAGCATAAACTGATACCTTAAATACAATGCAAGTTGATTTTGATTACAATGTAAATGTAATAATGAAATATCAAGACTCTCAGAAAGGCATTCAGATTAATAAGCTCTCTAAAAGATTTTAAAGATGATAATTGGGCCAATAACATCATGTCACCAAACACATACATCAGTGTTTTATTATGAATCTCTGAAAGTCAGTTCAACCTCAGAAATCACAGAATGAACATCCTGTGTCCATGCAAACCTAAAATACAAGAAGGTGGCGACGTCCTTGACGGTGCACATATGGGGCCGACAACGCTGTCTCTGTGGGGGTGTCTATTCAGCACTGACACAAAGAGGTCTCTTCAATGACTTCCGCTCAAATGGGCCCTGATGGCACCACGGTAATTAATCACTCATTATCTTTTCTATTAATCACCACTTGAGGACTGTTATGGCTGATCCCACCGCGACCACATTTATAATGAAATTATCAAAGCTGAGCACACTGCTCACATCAAGGCTTCTCTTGACAATACAATCTGATCATCTCTGCAAAACGTGAGTGACACCAACCCATGTAACTAAATGTGCATGTGGATGAAAGGAGAGATACTGGAGAGGTAAGATTAGTTGAAAAGTTAAGTGAACTGTCTTTGACTAAATAAACATATTCAGGTAAACAACTGCCTCTTCCAACTTCTAGAAGAGAAATGTTAAAAAAAAAAAAAAATCAGTGTTCAAATCAGTTGGTATTCCCTATACGTAGTTCATTATAAATGTGTTGAGGTCATTTTGTAGTGGTGTGCAATTTCTGAGTAAACTATTTAACTCCATTTATAGTTCACTCTTAGTACCCTTATGATTTATGCTGTACATCCAAAATAAGATCACCTGTGCTATATAATCTAATGCGGAGAGGACTGATAAGTAAAAAGAAAAAAATTGCAGCTTCCTTTATTTCTGCAATCTCTATATTGCACTTGTGCTTTCACTTTTATGATAACTCATTCATAGGTCATTAAAAACATTAAACAGAACAAGCTAAGTGCCAAGAAATAATAATAATAAAAATAATAAATAGGGCAATAATAATGCAGAATGTTTATCTTTCTTGGATTAACTAAATGAGGCAACAATTTATAACTCCGAACATTGTAAACAAAGCAAAAATTATTAATAATAATAAAAATAAAATGCTTGTTCTTGTGCATTTATTCTTTATTATGTGTTTTTAAATTCTCTTTTATTGTGAATTACGATGGCCTATTGTATTAAACATTACAAGCTAACAAGAAAAATTTGAACTATGGAAGAAGCATTGGTAACAGTTCACAATAAGAACTCATTTGTTAACATTAGTTAACTATGCTAACATGAACTAACAATGAACAATACTCTACATTTTATCAATCTTAATGGTAATTTCAACATTTACTTGTACATTTTTAAATCAAAAGTTAAATCTGTTAATAATAGTTAATGCACTTACCTAACATGGACTAACATTAGTTAACTACATTAGTTAACATGAATTAACAATGAACAATACTTCTACGTTAAGGAACAGTTCACCCAAAAATGAAAATTTTGTCATCATTTACTCTCATGTCGTTCCAAGCCTGTATAAGTTTCTTTATGTTGAACAAGAAAGAAGATATTTTGAAGATTTTTGATTAACCAAACAGTTGTTGGTCCCCACTGCCTTCCATAGTAGGGAAAGAAATACTATAGACTCATACAGGTTTGGAACGACATGAGCGTGAGTAAATGATGACAACATTTTCATTTTTGGGTAAACTATTCCTTTAATCATGTTAATTTCAACATTTACAATACATAATTTAAATCAAAAGTTAAATCTGTTAATAATAGTTAATGAACTGATAATAGTTCATGAACATTGTCATTTTATGAACTGAACTAACATGAATGAACAATTGTATTTTTATATACATATACATCAACAAAGATATAAAATATATTGCTCAATCTTAGTTCTAACGCATTAACTAAATGAGAGCAAATTGTGAAGTGTTACAGAATTATGTGAGTTTAGTACAAAATAAAGAAAAGTTGCATCTAAATTGCTTTGATTTTAGTCAGAAAAGTGCAGGATTAAAAGGGCAGGGATGCAAGCTGTTAATTCTGCCTGTCGAGCTGGTTGATATCATCTTGAAGCTGCACTCTCATCAAACGCAGATGACATTTGTACCAGAATGGCCCGTTTCTGGGGTGAAACTTCCACATATTTACGAGTCCATTAATTATATCTTCATTTAAATACTGATATGAAGCTATTTGCTTTCCTTCATCCCCT